ATGAAGACACTCCTAACACCTTCTCCGCCATGTTTCTTTCTTTTAACATCACACAATATTTCATACATGATAAACACAAACAGACGCACATACTAACACATTCCCTACCCCATCTCTCTCCCTCTCTTTCTCCCTTTCTCTCTCTCTCTTTCTCCCTTTCTCTCTCTCTCTCTCTCTCTCTCTCTCTCTCTCTCTCTCTCTCTCTCTCATACACTCACTCCTTGTCCTTCTCACACATGGTCACATATGCAACACGCCTCAAAGGTTACCGGCACGCAGATATATAAAACTCAGAGTATGTATCGTATATTTCAATTCTTCGGAACAAAGTTGATCTAGTAACAGTGAAAGAAAAAAAATGAAAGAAAAAGACTGCCTTGACCTTTATATGAACTCCAAACAATCAAAACGAAACAATTCTTGATGCCACCCAGAGTCTGACATGGATTTAGACGCGATTTAGTTCTTTGGAATGCACAGGAAAAAGAAGACATGGTTCCTTCCTCGTACGTCAGAAACCCGCCACTCGCCACTATTTTAAAGTCGACAACCTGCTGTGCTGCAAAAATTGACAAGTGCAAGGCTTGAAGCGAGGTCTAATTTCAATTATTTGCGCCGTGGGAGGTACTTTCAAATAAATAGCTATCCCGCCCGAAAAAAAATAAACGTAAATAGACCACCGTTTTGCCAAATGGCGCTCAGTGGGAGAAGTTAGTAGAAAATTGGACTTCGACTATTTCTAAAAATCATGTTTTTGCTCTGCTTTGAACTCAACAAGATTATGGGGAGACAGAATCTCCGCAGCAGCAAATTTGCTCTTTTCATTTTGTAGCTGCACCCACAGGAGGCGTATAAAGGTCAAGACAAGGGATTTTACATGCACATCTTTTGACGTAAATGAAAATACTTTTTACGTACATGGATATGTAAAAAAAAAATGAAAATGGAAGTTTGTGAAAAGAAGAAATAGAAGAAAAACGCTGCCAGGAATTAGATGACAAAACGTAACTGTGGTCTTTCGAAACATCTTAGCTTTTTTTCACCCTCCTGTTTCTAGCAACTGTTCTTTTTGAGTTCAGTAATTCCAAAAAACGGGCGCAGCGATTTCCGTTCTCAAGTTTAATTTAGGCAAAAATAGAATATGTGAAATGCTGTTCATGAAACCCGTATGCCACATTTTTCTAAAATCGGCTTTTTTTCTTTCGCTTGGCCACAGATCTTTCTCTCTCACATAATTTTCAGTGAAAGATCATGACTGTATGACTGTAAATTAGTGTAAATACTTATTTACAGTCCGATCTTCACACCGGAAAGATATGTGAAGGAGGAGTAAGTTTTCCTTTTTACCAGTGCTTGTCAACCTGGGCGATATCGACCTCTGGTGGATCATTTAATTTTGTAGTTTTGGTGGATGCTGGGGATCACCCGGGTAGTGATAGGTACCTTTTGAGTCACGACACGGTGGAATCAGGCGATCGTCAATTTTTGGGCGTGTGGTCTTATTGGAATCATCTCATTCATTTATCAAGCTTTCGATGAAGAAAAACCAAACGCATCTGTCTTTATCGTAATCGAGATATTTGTGATTCAGGGTGGGGGGTCGCCTGATATCAAAGGTAAAATTTGCAAGAAAATGGCCGTCACAATTTGGTAGCTTCAATAACTTGAGAATCCTTGAAAACTGAAAATGTATGTTATATTGCGTGCATTAAATCAACGTTTTTCAGTAAAATTCGCATGGAAATGTATTTTTATATGAACAAGAAAGGTGTTGATCCAAAAAACAGAAATTCAATTAAAATTGCCAAACCGATGGAAAAATGTCTGTTTCCTCGATTTCCTTATACAATATGTAGGTGGGCGATATGAAGGTGTTAACCCCGTTAAGGTTGCAAACTTAGGTGCTGCCATGAAAAGGATGGCAAGAAGACCATGCTTTATGCCAGCTAATCTCGTCCCCCAAAAGGACCAAAATAGGCCTGGTGAAATAAAAAAAAATCAAGTGAATTTAGCTTGTAAACGCACCTCGAGCGATTTTATAAACAAAAATAAGTTGCTACTATAACATTAAATAGCCAGCAGTTTCAAACGTAACCAAGTAACATAATTGCTTAAATTTAGCACGCCACAACATTTTTATATATTTTTAGCAACGCGATCCAGCTTAAGTCAGCCCCATTAACTGATCATATGTCAAGATTTAAACCAACATGCCACAAGACACAAAAAACTTGTAATTCGAAGAACGCTCACACAAAAGCTTTCAAGGTCGAGATGAGTAATTAGGTTGCCTGGTTCAAGAAAACAGAAAATAGTCTTTCTATTTTAAAATAAAAGGAAAGGTCACATTTATCTTTAATTATTAAAAGAGGCGGAAATGAAGTGAGACAACATAAAATAGTAGGAACGCGAAAAACTACGAGTGAAAGGAAAAAGCAGGCGGGGTTAAACAGAATTGGGGGTTTTACTCACAGACAGCGCTCCTATTTACGAAAATTGTTTCCTGTAGCTGCTGCTTACTTATTGTAACAAGACGTCTTTTCCTTTTTCAGCCTTCCTGACGACTTTGCACTGCTTACCCCATGCGCTTGACACAAACTTGGTTGGACACTGTTGCAATCTATTGTTTCATCTGTCTATTTTCATACATGATTATTATTGCGTTGATTGTAAATCTCCAAACCCTTAAAAGCCCAGCGTGGACCCATTTAGGAAACTGGCTCATTCGACTCTGTCAGGTAGGACTAATCGGGAAACGAATGGGATTCAGCATTCCAGCAGAGAGATGAAGAGTCGACAAAAAGGATTTCCCCACAGGGAAATCGAACTCATATCTTTTGTTTGCAAGGCGAAGGGATTTACTTTCACATCACTATGACTGGTTTCTATTCTGTGAGGGTCTTCCCTATTCAAAAGGTCGCTAGGTACAATTATTTTCTCTGCACTCCTGCATGTTTAGCTTAAGGTGCAGTAGATGAATATGCCGTCTTGACCTCTTTGAAATTCGTCATAGATGCAACTATTAGTATAAGATAAGATAGAGGCGACAATGCTGGGACGATGTATCCCATTCAGCCCGAGTTGATTCTGACTGGCAGAGTTGAAGCCCGTCTTCTAAATTATCTAAACTGTAACGAAAGGGGTGTAAAAACACTTAGATCTACGGAAAACAAAACAAAACAAAACAAAAAATACGGGTAGCGTCTTTACTCTGTAATTATTGATCCCAGTGTAGTGTCCAACAAGTTGTTCACGTTTTTTTTTATATTTTTTAGTAGAGGTTTTACGGCGCTCGCAACTGCATAAGGTCATGTGAGCGCCAGAAGATTAGAGGTGTTACAAGAGAGTAACAAATATAAAAGAGAAGAAGGGGAAATAAGGACGATAGATGCTAAATAGGAAAGAAGGAGCAAACCACACCAGAGCACCCGCCAACCACCCACTGTTCACATCTTTAAACGGAGCATTCTTTCAAAATGAGACCTCCCCTCCCCCCTCTCCTCTTCCCATTCACACTCATATTTTGTGGAGTGAGGCATGATTTCTAAACATCGAGCACATACTTATCATGGACAGCTACGAGGTTGACCTTGTACCCCCCCCCCCTCAAGAAAAAATTTCACAAAACCCCAATAAAAATTACAACAACAAACAAAAAGAACAAAACCTAAAACATCAACACCCCCCCCCTCCTCCCCCGGAAAAGAAGAGAAAAAAAGGATGCAGAGAAATCTGATGTGTTCTTATGACCAATCTGCGTACTTGTAGTTCGAGATTCTGGTACGGTATCTGTTCAGCTGGTCTAATTAACACTGCCAGGTCAACTAAGATATGTCTTTTTGTCTGAGTCAAGTGGATGGAGAATTAAAAAAAAAATCTCTAAAGAAACTATCCAACTCTAAAAACGGCGCTCTGGGGATTCGAACCAGGGCATGGTGCCAATTACTGATCAATTGCCCACCGATCTATGTTGATGCCGCTTTTGAACAAAACAACTAAGTTATTCTATTATTGCTACCTCCCCCCCCTTTCCGAAAACAACAACAACAAACGAAACAACAACAACAACAACAAAAAACAAACTTATTGATGATTGAGCAAAGGAACAGTTAGGCTACCTTATTAATGATCGGGTTTATGTGTGTATGCTGGTGTGTGTGTGTGTGTGTGTGTGTGTGTGTGTGTGCGCGCGTGTGTGTGTGTGTGTGTGAGTGAGTGTGTGTGTGTTTATGTGTGTGTAGTGTAACACCAGAACAATGTAACGATGTCAGGTAGTAAATGAAAGTTAATCTTATGTTATGTTATGTTTTGTTATGTTATCTTATCTTATCTTAGCATAAAAAGAGATTAAACCAATGTTATAAATGGACTTTCTGTCTCCAGGACGGAGGGAGATTTCTGCGGTATCAGGTCAGGTCGCTGTGGGAAAGGACTCCACTGCACGCCCCCACCCGAGCACCCGGACCCCATCATGGCGCTCATCACCGGCATGGCTTTCTGTACGAGGTTTTAGTGGACACAGGTCAGTGTTATAGCAAAAAGGATACGTAAAGTCCCCCCCCCCA